ATGCATGTATTAAATGCATGTATTAAATGCATGTATTAAATGCATTTATTAAATGCATTTATTAAATGCATTTATTAAATGCATTTAATAAATGCATTTAATAAATGCATTTAATAAATGTATATAATAAATGCATTTGTTAAATGCATTTGAGCATTTTAAACATATAATGAATTTCTTTGAGCTGCCTGAATGGCCCAGTGAGCAGTCAGTTTCTTTGAGCCAAAAGTCTCAATTTTATTTCTTTTTTGTTTTCTTTTTTTCATTTTTTGCTCCATTTATTCCTTTTTTCTGATTCCTTTTGCTTCTCTTTCCGTCTCCGCCACAGTGGCCTCCATTTGTTTCTTTTTATTTCTTTTTTTCTTTCAAAATAATTTAATAAAATGCAAAAGATGAAGCAGATGGCCTGTGAACGAGAAGTGGCACTACAGCAACAAATAGTACTTTTGCAAATATCAATTTTGCAAGTTTTTATTTCGCAAATATTAATTTTGCAAATATTTATTTCGCAAAGATATTTTGCAAATATTATTTTCGCAAATATTTATTTCGCAAATGTTAATTTAATTGTTCAAGTGAGACTTCTTCTTGTGGGCTTTCAGCCAAATCCGAAAAGAAATTAATATTCATTTTTATTTATTTAAATTGGACTTCTTTTTGACTTCGGCGTTTTGGCCGTTAGCGCCTCCTGGAGGCGTTCTGCGCTAATATAGGCATTTGGCCTGAAATGAAGCTTTTTGGAATTTGACCTGATCCTAAAATAAATAAATAAGTAAATAAATAAATAAATAAATAAATAAATAAATAAGTTTAATTTAAAGGATATAAATGAATTTAATTCAAATGAAATGGACAGAGTGGGCCAGTGAAGAGAAGGAGCAGCAAAAGGCAATCGGCGCAGAGGGTGGCTGCATGCACGGGAGCGAAGAAGCGAATTATTTCGGGGATTTTGGGGAAATTTGGATTAATTGTGTTTTAAATGCAAAATATAATTATTTAATTCAAAGACAAACGCAATTTATAGACGAAAGACCCCAGCTTTCCCTGCGAGCCTGCTCGTCCCACAGGCCGCGAGAAGCTTCTTTGCATGCAGCAGCTCCGCCTCACGCGATCCTGAAACTTGGGTTTTTTCTTCTTTTTCGGGGGTTTGCAAAACAATTCAAGACTGATTAAAAGTCCTCCGCAGGAGATCTCGGGCTTTGCGCGAAAGCCGCAGCAGCAGCAGCAGCAGCAACAGGGGTCTCGAAGCCCCGGGCGGAAATGGACGCGGATCCGAGCCCCCCAGCGGCTGCTGCAGCAGCAGCAGCAGCAGCAGCTGCAGGAGCTGCAGCAGCAGCAACGCCGCTCGCCAGGTGGGGCTTTCTGTGCTGCTTCCCAGGCCGCATGCAGACCCCCCGCTAGCTGTGGAGCGCAGGCGGCGGGGCCGGAACTGGCCGCAGCTCCTGAAAGAGGCGCTGCTGCTGCTGCTGCTGCTGCTGCTGCTGCTGCTGCTGCTTGTGTTTGTGCTGCAGCGACGGGGTGAAAGTCACTGCTTCCGGGCTCACGAAGCAGCAGCAGCAGCGAGTTGCTGCACACAGCCACATCCGCTCGCTGGGGCTGGCAGCAGACGGCTCCGCGCTGCAGCAGGCGGGGGGCATGGTGGGCCAGCTGGAGGCTCGGGAGGCTGCGGGGATCATAGTGGACTTGATAAAGGCGCGAAAGCTGGCGGGTAGGCGGGCTCTCTTTGCGCGATTTCGAGGCTTTTCTTCCGAATTAATCTCCCAGTTTATGTTCCTGAATGTTATTAAAATGAAAATGTTTATTTTTAATGAAAATTTGAGAAAAAATGACACAAAAATCGCAAAATTGACCTTTGTTCAAGTGCAGTTCATGAACTCCGCGCACGCAGCTGCAGCAAAGCTGCAGCAAACACAGCCGCAGCAAAGCTGCAGCAAAGCTGCAGCAAAGCTGCAGCAAAGCTGGGGCGTTGCTGCAGCTGTGCTGCAGCAAAGCTGGAGCGCTGCAGCGGGAAAGCTGCAGCTGCGCTGCAGCTGCGCTGCATCAAAGCTGCATCAAAGCAGCATCAAAGCAGCACCAAAGCTGCAGCAAAGCAGCAGCTGTGCTGCAGCAAAGCAGCAGCTGTGCTGCAGCAAAGCAGCAGGAAAGCAGCAGGAAAGCAGCAGGAAAGCAGCAGGAAAGCAGCAGCAAGTCTTGGCTGTTGGCTGTTGCGTTTAGGCCAGGCTTTGCTGCTGGCGGGGCCGGTGAGTTCGGGGAAGACGGCGCTGGCGATGGGGATTTGCGGGCAGTTGGGGGCGGGGGTGCCGTTCGTGCCGCTGGCGGCCTCTGCGGTCTTCAGCAGCGAAGTCAAAAAGACAGAAGTGCTGCTCGAGCACTGCCGGCGCGCCCTCGGCCTTCGCGTCCGCGAAGTCAAAGAAGTTTTCGAAGGCGAAGTCGTGCAGCTCGCCGCCGAGGAAGCCGAGAACCCCCACGGAGGCTTCGGTCCGCTGCAACTCAGCGCTGCACTCTAAATCCCACTCTAGTTGCTTTTTTCTTCAATTTCGGCGCTGAAACGCACACTGTCTTTGCTTTTTTCTTCAATTTCGGCTCTTAAACTCACGAAATAACTCCAGGAACATGGGGAGTGGCATTGTCTTTGCTTCATTTTCTTGTATTTCGGCTTTAAAACAGCCAAATTGACTCCAGGAACATGGGGAATGGCATTATCTTTGCTCTATTTTCTTGAATTTGGGCTTTAAAACACCCAAAATGACTCTAGGAACATGGGGAATGTCATTATCTTTGCTTTATTTTCTTGCATTTCGGCTTTAGGACACCCAAAATGACTCCACGGACACCCATAATCCCACTATCCTTGCTTTATTTTCTTCAATTTCGGCTTTAAAACACCAAAGATGACTCGAGGAATGTGAAGAATGTCGTTATGCGTGCTTTAGTTTCTTGAGTTTGGGCTTGGAAACACCCTAGAAGGAATATCAGGAATGTCATTATCTCCTTTTATTTTCTCGAATTTGGGCGCGAATACAACCTAAAGTGACTCCAGGATCATTTAGAATGGCAGTGTCTTGTTTTATTTTCTTGAATTTGGGCTTTAAACGCGATAAAATGCTGAAAGGGGCCTTTAAATGGTCGCTGCTGATTTGCTGCTTGTCTGCAGGCAAATGCATTAGCGCCGTAATGCTGACACTCAAAACAGTCAAGGGAATGAAAACCCTCCGGCTGGCCCCCCAGCTTCACGACTCGCTGCAGAAGGAGAAAGTGCGAGTCGGAGATGTGGTGTTTATTGAGGCGAACACGGGTGAGAAGCAGAAAGAGTTGAAGCCGCTTCTGAACACCAGCATCAGCCACCCACGAATCCTGGCCTCGACCAGGCCTCAGGGCCCCCCTTTGGGAGCTCTTTGAGCATTTGTTTATTGAAAAACAATACGAGGCACTCGAATTGTGTCTTTGTTCCTGCAATCAATCTTGTTTGCTTCAGGAATTGTGAAGCGCGTCGGCCGCAGCGACGCGTACGCCACGGAATTCGACCTGGAGGCCGAAGACTTCGTGCCAGTGCCCAAGGGACATGTAGAAAAAAAGAAAGAAGTTGTGCAAACTGTTTCTCTTCATGATCTAGACGTGGCCAATGCGAAGCCTCAGGTGGGCTTCGCCTGATGGCGCCTCCGTAGTACAAATGCAGTAGAAGGAACTTCGGGCTCTCGTTTTCAGGGCGAGACCTGCAGCAGGGGATCTTATTTAACTTAAACTTCACTTATATGAGCATCTTAGTGTTTTTCGGCTGGAAGGGTTGCAAGAAAGGATGGGCTTGCAGTGCTGAGATGGTGTTCAGGGGGGCACTGACGTCTTGTCGATGATGGGCGCATACATGAAGCCCCGCAAAACTGAAATTACGGAGAGACTGCGAGAGGAAATAAACAAAACTGTCAACAAATATATTGAGCAGGGCGTGGCGCAGCTGATTCCGGGCGTTCTGTTCATAGACGAAGTACGTCGGGGGGTTAGCAGGCAATTATTTGGTCCGTTTGATGCCATTGCATGCTTTTGGACCCGAAACTTGGTTGTAAAGAGTTAAACAGAAGGGATAGGAACAGAAAATTAGCCAAAGTAGCTCTATAGACCTAGCTATAGTAGCTCTATAGACCTCATCAGTTCACATTTTTCACGGTGCTGGTGTCTGTGGGTTGCGCTCCGCCTCTTAGGTTCATATGCTGGATATTGAATGTTTCTCTTTCCTCAACCGCGTTTTGGAGTCTCCCATGAGTCCCATTATCGTGTTTGCTACAAACCGTGGCGTAAGGCGCCCCTCTTAGGGTGACAGCAGCTTTTTAGCTCCACAGTATTATTAAAATGGCCTTGTGCCGGGCCTTGCATTTCAAGCCATTTCTTGAAGTTTTCAGCAGAAGGCAATTAATTGCCTTTGAAATGCATTGCGGATGCATTCTTCTGAGTTCGTATCTTCGTTGTTTGTTGCATTTGGCGGCAGCCGCTGCACCGCTTTTAACTTTTGCTGCAGTGTGAAGCTTCCTTTGCTGCTGCAGGTCAGCACAGTTCGCGGGACAGATTCTGTAGAGCCCCACGGCATGCCTGTGGATCTTCTAGACCGGCTTTTGATAATAAAGACGCAGCCGTACACAGTTTCAGAAGTAGGTGACTGCGGGCTGCTGCCACTAGTGGTCCTGCATGCACAGCTTTCCATCTGCGCAGCGGCAAAGGGAGCAGAGAAATAGTTTGCAGAGGTCTTTTCTCCAATATTAAATGGATTATTAATTGATTTTGAACTGAACTGTGTCCGAGTTTGACAGTTTCCCGGTTTCTTTTCCGCTTTCCACTTCAGGTGGTCCAGGTGATCCAGCTGCGGGCAGCGGTGGAACGCGTGAACTTGTCGCCAAGTGCTTTGGAAGCCCTCGGCGAAATCGGCGCACAAACTTCGCTGCGCTTCGCGCTGCAGCTGCTGGAGCCCTGCAGGCTGGCAGCAGAGGCGCGGGGCTCCGAAGTGGTGGAGCCAAGCGACGTCGCAGACGTGGACTCTCTCTATCTCGACGCGAAGGCCTCGGCTGTGCGGCTGGCTGAGCAGCGCCACCGCTTCCCTTCCTGAAAGCCTGCTGCGCAGCAGCAGTTGGGAGACAGGCGTTAAACTGGTTCTTGTCTATTGTTGCCTTTCAGTGGTCCAGTCCGCACTAGTTTGCCGAAAGCTCCAACTGTAGACGCCCTAAGCAGGCAGCGTGGCGGCTGCAGGCTCAGAATTCTCTTAGCTAGACTGCCTGGCTCTTAGACAAGAAAGCAGGGATTGCAGGAACTTCATTTCTGAGGCACGGGGAACAGTTCTGCGAAGTCCTGCTATGGACTTAGGGGGGTTTGCCGCCAAAGAGAGCCTCATACTCACAGGAAACTACACGTTTTTGACAAAGCTGCTAAAAGCTGCTGCGCACAGTCACGGGAAATTCGTGCACATTAAGATTTCGTTTTCATTCTGGGCGCGAGCACCCCGGGGTGGCTGGGGAGCGGCTCGACGTGAGCATCTTGCGGCCATATTCGTGTCTTCAAGAGGCTTTTTCTGTGGACACTTCTGTAGTTTCTGCATATTCCAAGAAGGCGAAGGCAAAGCCTCTTTCGTGCAGTTGACCCCATACCTGTTGCCGCTGCGCTGCAGCTGAGCGCGCTCACTGTCGGCGTGCAAGCTAGGGAGATACAGGGAATATCCCGGTGAAAATTAAATGCAGTAAAGAAAAAAAACACAGAAATGTGGGATACACTGTGGCTTTGAGCGCGTTTGGCCTACCACGCTCCCGTGGACCACTGAGCTTCCCATCAGCGACCACTCGTGTGACGCGAACACGTGCCTTGCATGCGCATGCAGCGACTCGCTTCATCATATTCTTTAAAAGGCTTATTAAGATCCTCAAAATCGTCACAAGTACTTTGCTCTGCTGCGCCGCTGCGTATCTGCCGGAAGAGCGCTGAGGCGAACCCCGTTCCTTGCCCGCTAGAGCACGTGGCGGACAGAAGAAGCTTGGCGCTTCAATTAGCAAAATATGTGCAACGGGTGAACTCAGGGTTTTGTTGCGAGTTGGAAAAGCCTGATGTGCAGCCGTATAGTTCAAATGGGCTGTGGAACTGTGCAACAACACAAGTTTCGCTGCAGCCACTGCCGAGTGCAGATATATGCGTCTTCGGCTTTGTGTTTAAGTAAAGCGAGCATTTTTTGCTGGCAACAGGCCTTTGAATTCCAATGCTAGGCCGTCACGCGTGCTGTGAAGCCTGCAGCGGCGACTGCAGCACAGCGAGCGGCAGCAGTCTGAAGTTTTCAGAGCTGCTGTGCGAATTCTCTGTCACTCAGGCCAAAAGAACAACAGCGGTTGACGCTCTGCAAACCTTGTGGCTCTTCAAGTTTCAAGTCGAGGCCCCGTGAAGTGAACAGACGAAGGAAAGGCAGCAAAGCTGCAGTTGTTGGAGCTGCAGAGTTGCAGACTTCTCCAGTTTGAGCAGCAATGACTCGGCCCGGCGTAGCTCTGGTGCGGAAACTGACGGCTATCACCCACGGCTGCAGCTTCCAGCCGCGAGAAAATGTCTGTCTCGTGCTGGGGGGCACAGGGCTGCTGGGAAAGGCGCTGAAGTCCACGGTGGAGGAGCTCGAGGCGCAGGCCGGCGATCTCGACGGCTACGACTTTGTCTTCGTCGGATCTAAAGATGCGGACTTGAGGTGAATGGCCTCTGAGGCGGGGCGGCCGGGGGCAGCGCAGAGCAGCTTCCCTCCACACAAACGGGGGCGCTGCACTCTTTATTGGGCTTTTGCGGGGGCCTTTTGTTGATGAAATTTGCAGAGTTTGGCAGGAAACGCAGCTGCTCTTTCACCGGTATCAGCCCAGTGCCATAATTCACCTTGCAGCCAAAGTCGGGGGGCTGTATGACAACATGCAGAACAATGTGAGTGGCCACTCTGTAGGCGCCTTGCAGCAGACTTTGCCTTACAGCTCCGCCTTGATAAGTTATTCTAAAGATATGTAGTGGACGGGGTTGGGACTTGATAAAGACCGAAGCAGAGTCTAGCTTTCTTCGGGGTTTTTACGAGTCGCTATACTCCGCTGGCCCCAGAGCATCATATATAGCGCCCCTTATGGTTCAGAATAAACAAAGAGTTGGGCTTAGAGTTTGGAACTTGAGAAGCAGTTGACAACGTGAGTTAGAGTGATGTTCGCGCTAAGCTGCGAGTCAGCAGGTTGGCTTGTGTTCTTGAGCAGGAAGCGTTTCTCCGTGAGAATGTGCTGATCAACACACATGTAGTTCGCGCTGCATTTGAGGCACAGGTGAGGGAAACAGGCTAAAAATTGTGAATGGAATCCACAGGCTCAAAAGTTGTGGATGGAATTCGCAAAGAAATGGCAATTTGCTCGTGCTGGCGCTGAGTTTCCTTGCCGGGGTTTCACATGTGCATGCGCCTGAGTGATTCTCGCAGGTGACCCGCGCCATTTTCTGCCTTTCCACTTGTGCCTACCCCGAACATGTCCCATCGTTGCCTCTAGTAGAGGAATACCTGCAGTGAGTGGCTCCTTGGCGTGTTTGAGCAAGGGTTGCTGCTGCTGGGCTCGAGCAGCAGCGCGGCATCATCTATGGCTGCCTCTAACGTTTCTTTTGCATGCAGCTTGGCGCCTTCTCATCCATCAAACGAGGGATATGCAGCAGCTAAGCGTTTGCTTGAGCAGCAGGTTCGTTTTAGCCGCCAACAGCTGCAGGCAGAAAACCCAGGTACGCAAATAACACCGCTGGCAAAAGAAGACAGCCTGCGCTGCAGTAGCCCCAAGGCGGCCACAGCGCTGCAGCAGCAACTCAACTGCAGCAGCAAGGGGAGCGGTTTAGGTGTCCCGCACTTTGGTCTTGTGATCTCATAGCCGAACTTGGCTTTCCGTAATGCTCTGAGCAGGGCACACTTTCTCGTGGATATGCGTCTTGCCCTGCAATCTCTACGGGCCCCACGACAACTTTGAGCTAAACAGAGCTCACGTATTGCCCGCCCTTGTGCATAAAGTCGAGATCGCCAAGCGTGAGCCTTCAGCCGCAAGAGGCTGCTTGACAGTTGCATGCGCATTTGTAGATGGAGTCCTTTGCCACTCTTCTTGGTGGCCTGGCATTTTCAAGATGATTTTCGATGAGTTTATCTGTAATTGCTTCTGAGTCGCATTGCTTGTGCAGGTGATGGCACTGCATTCACTGTCCGCGGCAAAGGAGGGGCTTTGAGGCAGTTTCTATTCAGCGACGACGCAGCACGACTCCTGCTGCTCTTGCTTGTTAAACGAGATATTCCCGAGACGCATTCTTTGCTAAACATGTGCCCTGACTTGCAAGACAGTGGTATGTTCAACCACGCATGCGTTTCTCGGTTTCCATGAAGACGCACACTACTAGTGCCTATAGTGAAGTATCTTGAAGGACGCGCGTTGGGAATTGAAACACACAATGCACCAAATTCCATTTCTTTTTTTCTTTTTAAATTCAGAAATATCAATAAAGGACCTCGCGCTGCTGATTAAGCGCTGCGCGGGATTTGATGGGCCAATACAGGTCAGATGAGGGAGTGCTGTAGAGCACGCGCAACATTGCTGCACATGACTCTTATACTGTGGGGTCTTTCAATTTATCTTACTGCCTCTGTCGTCGTGACTGCCACAGCGCAGCAGAACTGCTTAGCTGCTGTTAGCTGGCGCCGTAGAGAGAGTTTGGCTAGCTGTGGTGATTGACTGGAGTTGTTGGCTCAAGCATGACAAATGGAAGGGATACAGAATTTGCATGTGCAAAGGAATGGGCCGCTGCGCTGTCTGCAATTCCCTCAGTTTGACGAGTTAGCCCCCGAAGGGGTCTATAGAAAGGTGAGCAACAGTTGCTGCTTCTGCGCAACTGCAACACTAGCCCGCCAATTCTTCCTCCTATTTTGGTTTTGTTTGTTTGATTTGTTTTGCGGCTTTTTGCACAGCCTGCGGACAACTCGAAATTAAGAGCTGTGATCGGCCAAGAATTCATCTTCACGCCACTAGAGGACGGTAGGCTGCTTGCCTCCGGTTAAGACGAAGGCGCCTGCTGCTGCTAGATATCACAAAGTATCTAAGTATACAAAAGCAAGGCAAATCGCCCGCTAAATATGTCACCTGCATGCGCTTTTAGGCATTCGCCTTAGTTTTTGCGATGCTTGTCTTTTAAACGACTCCAGGAGATTCTGTAAACTGCAGTAGCACCTCACATTTCGTTTGGCCTCCAAGTGACAAGCACTGATATCTTGCGTGATTAACTTGCAGGCGTGCAGAAGACTGTGGACTGGTTCTCGGAGAACATGGCACAGGCGCGAACATGAGAAGCAAAGCCGACCAGGAGCAGTTTCTCAGTTCATCTATTGTAAAACTGCTGAATTGACAATATTGCAGTCTTTTGCGTTCGGAATTACCGCCCCCAGCCGTGTGAGCACAAGGGGAAACAGTTAACTGCTGCGGGTGCACGACTATTGCCGTGAGCCCACTGTGCCGTGCGCTGGCAGCGGATACACTGATCCTGCATTGCGCGCGAGAATAGAGAAAGATGGAGTTTCACAGTCGATTTTATTGCTACAGTGTGTGCACTATTTCCCACACTGAAAAGAACCAAGCTGCAATAAGTCGGTGATGGACGGTCAAGCTAGTTTTCAACTCAAACTTGCTTGTGAAATCGTGGGCACTGTCCACGGGCCCAGCACTTCCAAATAACCTTCATCACCGCCGAGGGTTTTCCCCCATTTCTCGAATGCCTTTGCCGTTGCTTCGATTCAACGATCTTCCGCTGTCCCTCTGTCCCAAAAGCAGTCGCAAACTAACTTATGGCTTCACTACAGTTTCAGACTCTGGTCCGTGGCTCGTAGGAGCTGCTCCATGTAAGCGTCGTTCCTCTCTGCTGCAGTTAGAGGCTGCGAAGAGGGCGTAGTGCTGCGCGAACAAAGAGTAATAGGGAATAAACGTGCACACGGAAGCGAGGCGCTGCCTTTTGTCACGAATATCTTGTTGCTGCTGACTGCATGCGGAGAGGAATGCGAAGCCGCGAAAGATGCATATTCTTACGGTGGTAGAATAAGAGCGCCTTTTAGGGACCCCTGCGCAGCATCTAGCTTTTTAGCCTTCGATGTTGCGTGGGATCCGATTACAGTTCCCACTGGCTCCATACCGATGCCGAGGCCGTTGACGCCAGCTACTTTCCACCCCTCCGCCAGGGAAATGGGGCGGTAGAAAGTCTGAGAAACGCCAGCAGACAAAGCCTGCAGATAATGGTGTTGCTGTGTGCTGGGAAAAGTGGGAAAGCAAGTCTCAGGGGTGCAGCCAGACTCTTGTGCGCCAGTAGACCCGAAGACCTTTGCCTTACTTCTTCAGTAAGTGCCATGTCTCTGGCTCTTTGAACTGTGGACGGGAAAGCTTGCTGCGGCGCCTTCGGCGGCGCCGCAGTGAAGTAGACGTTGCGGCGCTTCTGGGCCGACGGCAGCTGCCGAAAGTAATGGGGGGCATATGCAACAGGGAGTGGAATGCCACCTCCTTGCGAAGGAGCTAGGCCAATGTCATCACTTGGATCCCCTCTACGAGGCATCCCTAGTGGCTGTGCAGCCATGGCGTCTGCAAGAATACAGCGAGACAGTAAACGCCAAAAAAGAAGCAAAAACGGAATTAAAAGCAAAAACACTTGCACTGGTGGCTGCTGGGCAGAGGCAGCAGCAGCTGTTCGAGCATTCTTTATTCAAGCTACTTAAAACTGGCATTGTGAAAGATTCTCCTGCATGCCTTGAGACTTGCACTGGGAACTCTCCAGCACGAACTTTCCTCACTTTTTTCGTCAAGTTCGGATGATAGCACCGACCACGCGTGGCAAGCCCTGCAGGTCGCTGCAGAATAATTGGGGCCCCCTGTTCTGGCCCCTTGCTCCTGTGCTGTCTTGAGTTGTTCTTTCAGTGCTTCGACTTCCTTCGCACGGCTCTGGATTTTTGCACTCAGCACCAAGATCCAGAAAGCTCTGAGCATCGAGGCTTTGTCATTAGTTCTGATTACGCATCATAAAAAACAAGGGCTGCGGCCTCTCAATGAAGAACACTCCCACTGGAAACCCCAAAACGACTCATAAGAATAACATGAATAGCCCTATTACGCAGTAAAAAGCTATGGAAGGATTCTCTACTCTGTCCCAACTAACTACTGCACCTAACTTCGTTGCTTGAAAGTTTTTCTTTAACTGGAGCTTTGCTACGCCAACACATGTACACTTTATCAGTCGAGCGCACCTAAAAAAGGATGTCACTAATGCGCATCCAGTAATGATGGTTTCCTTTCTGAGCTCTGCGCTTGACCTGTTAATGGCCTTTTCCATAGTCTGCACGACGGATTCGCTCATGCAGAAGGAGTACATCCTACAGAAAGCAGCAACACAGGCACACATGAAAAGCCATTGAAATTAATTCAGTTTTCTCAAGATAAAGAACTAGGTGAAAAGGGGGGAAATTGCAACAGTGCTGCGCTGCAGCATACCGGCGGAAAGCGTAGGCAAGCAGCCTGGTTTGTGCCATGTTGAGGACTGCACAGACAGACTGTAGCTTTGTCCTTGTGAGCTCCATTTCCAAAGTTCTCACATTGCCTCCTTGGAAAGAGAAAGAACTCATAATAGCTGGAGACTCCAGCCGCTCCCTCTGCGAACTCGCTAGACCCATGCTGGGGGTGCCTGCTAAGCCACACAGAGCCAGACAACGCTGCAGCTATTTCGTAAAAGCTGCTCTTAATGCACACACTGCAGCACAGATTTCGACTGCTGCTGCGAGTCTTCGTTCAGTGGATCTCTCTTGCGGCGTTAGTCATGAAATGCAGTGTGAGTGTCGGAGGCGAGGCGTACCACTCTTTGCGATAGATCCTTCGTAATTCTGCTGAGAAGACCAGTTCCCCTGCAGCAGAGCTCAAGGCATATTTACAAATATTGTAGAAAACATGCAGAATCCTTACAAAAAAGGGCGCATTTCTTTTGCAAATACGACAGAAGAAAGCCAAATGCATGCAGGACGGCTAGTTTTGAATAATACCACCTGCAGCTGCAGTGGGGGCTCAAACGCACTTCATGCTTGCCAACAATGGCAGCTTCTTGTTGCAAAATACGGTCTCGGCGGCTTTTTTCAGTGTGGACTTGCATTTCTTGTATCTATTGCATCCCCAAAACGCAAAGGCAGTTGCACAGGAGACCAGATGCGGGGGATTAGACTAGAAACTGCTTTGTGCCACGGAAGGCCCCGCAGGTTTTCTCATTGCGATCGTTGTAGCCATAAAAAGAAACCTGCATAGCCACTCCTTCTGCCAATTACCTGTGCCTGGAGCCTCTCATTCTCAGCGAGAAGAATAAGTTGCTCTTGTCGCAGCAGCCGTAGGTGGCTGTCAGTGTACGACTGGACTCCACAGGCGAACCCGTGATTGGCACGGAATACCGCATGGTCAGTGCCAAATGCATTTTCCAGAAATCTGAAAAGAGCTGCGTTCAAAGCAAGAACAGCCAGCGATTTGTACCAATTAATGATGGAGCCGAGCGTCTACTGCAGCCGTGTACACTGCTGGAAGCAGAAGGGTTCTAGAAAACATGCATTTCACTTCTGAGTCCGCGATGTTGTTCGCTCGTCTCTCACCTTCTCGCTTCACTGAAACCAGAACAGTGTTATTTGTGTACAGCTGCGCCATGTACTGCAGCGCCCGGCCCTTGCGAAGAGCCTTGAATGTCAGCTTCCTCGCCTCAACGAGCGGCAGAGAAGTCTCTTGCAGAAGCTGGAGTTCATCTGACGTGCTCTAGAGGTAGAAGTACAAAAGAATCCACAGAGCGAAGGTTTAATGTAGAAATTATCGCATACAAGCTCGCGTGGGACACTATGGAGCGAGCCAGTGCTAGGAGAATGCACATGACAAGCTCAGGCTGACATCTTATTCAAGAATGCCCCCATGGGCTTTCCATAAAGCGACTGTGAGCAGCCCAGCCAAATCTCATCTCAGAATCCACTTTGACTTACCTTCAGCTGCGCCTTAAGCTTCTTTGTGTCCGTCTCATACATGCTCATCAAGCTGGCCTTCTCCTCCTGGCGCGCGCGCTCGCTGTCCAAGAGCTGCTGCTTCAGATTAGTTACTTGCTCGACGTAACTCTTGACTTCTTCCTCATGTTGTTTCATTTGCGCGTTGGTTCTGCGCTCGAAGCGCCGGAGCCTCTTAATCTCTTCTGCGGCCTCCGTCAGCGTGAGACGCACTACGCGTTTCTTCGCTGCAGCAACGGAGAAGCCCAAAAACAAGAAAACAGGTCAAACAGCCCAGCAGCACTGCGAAGTGGCGCTGGCGCTGCTGTTTCTCAACTCTTGCAAAGACCTGGAAAGCAGCCGCGGTGGAAACTTGAAGGTAAGAACTATCTGGGCAGTTTGCGTCTACGAAGCAGAGGCAGCTCACGCTCGGTTGGGCTATCCCCCGCTGCAGCACCGAATCGCAAAAAAGAAGAAAAAGAAAAACAATCAAAGTGTCAAAGTGCTTTATTATGTTCCACAAGGCTTGCTGTGGTGCATCGCACTGGACTGCAGCCCGCATAAGCCTCTTTAAATAGCTATTAGGGATCAAATTAAATGCACTCATCGCTCACGAGAGGAACCGCCATTTTTGTCGGCCTCCGCAGTTGATCCTATTTTCTGGGCGCCTGAATTCGAGTCACCTGAAGGCACAAGCAGCAATTCAGTGCGAGGCTTTAAGCAAAAGAACACGAAAATGCTTACTACTCTCCATATCTGTTGAAGATAGGGAAAATGCGTGTAAGAATATTGAAATGTTCCCCCCGTGACAGTGAAATTCCTCCAAAGGCCGGCAGCAGTTGACTGGCACGGGCACTCTCACCTCTTCGAGACGGCGCTCGCTGAAACCTTTCATCTGTGCTGTCGTTTCCGTCATCTCCGGGATCTTTGGAGCTTCCCGCTGCTCTTGGCTTTGAGCCTAGGGCTCGCATTCTTGAGGCGGAAGCAGACCTGGACGGGGAGCCCCGTCCGATGGAGCTTTCTCTCGAAGAGGTGTTTCTCGGGGAAGAGTTCGCCATCTTGTGAAGAGGAAAGCCCGCTGGAATGTGCCCTCAGCTCGTTTCAACTGCCAAGTCTCTGAGTCCTTGAAAGCTGCCGCAGCTCCTAGGCTCAAGTTGTTGCAAAGCAATGCTCTTAAATGCTCAGACGGGAAGCTTTCATAGTGGTCTGAGCAGACAAGCCCGCGGGTTGCCCGTCCATGGCAAAATTGTGGACAGTCTCGAAGCGCGAGAGAAGTATGCTACCTTTAATTTTGGAAAAAATACATATTTCATCAAATATTCGGGGACAAAGCGTGTCTGGCGGCCTTTGTGGTGGGGCTTCACCGCAGCCGACGCAACAAATGCGCAAGAGCAGCTGCCGAGACTGTAGTGAGCGCGGCCTCCTCTACAAGTGTTTCCTTTCTTGCTACATTGGTACATACACATCAAATTCAGACAAATATTCCCAAATAAACCCTCTAGAGCATGATGATTCCAGTCAGTCTGTTTTTTTCCCGCGGCTTCCGCGAGGCCTTTGCTGTCTTGGTGTGTGTGTCCTGCCAGGCTGCGCCGGTGACACTGCCATTTCCAATCCCTGACCTTCTAGCGGAACAGCCTAAGCTAAATTTGCAGCAAGGGCCAGGTTTTCCTAGCTGTAACCTCTCTAGTTAGGCTTCATATGCAGAATAGCAAATGTTCCAACCCCGTGAGCTTATGCCAGTGCAGCCTCGTAGTGCTCAAGAGACTGGTGATGAACTCTCGTTCTTTTAATGCCCATTTGTTGTTCGAAACTCCACTATCACTAGTATCCCGCTTAAAATGCTCGTTCAAAAGCACCTAGACCGCCTTCAGCTTACTGCATTATGGACCACACTCACAGGTGTAAGCCGTGGCTCTAGTCATTAGCCAGTTTCCTCTGCGCAGTTTGCCGCTGGAAATGCAAGCCATGAGGCAAAAGCCGAAATTAATGCAGCTGTAGTTGAGTTGCTTTCAAATCACGAGGCCATTGGGGCAAACCCTGGGGAAGTGACACGAGTACACTGTGGGAAGTGACACGAGCACACTGTGCTCATGAGACAAAAGGCTGTTGCATTGCGTCCACATGGCCTGCTGCATTAGCATTTAGAAATCAAATTTCTGCGTAACAGAAGAAGTCCATTTGCGCAGCCCCGCGCCGCTCGTGAGCCGTGAACTTTGTCAGGGGCCACGCTCCATGAGCTTCTGCTGCTGAAGGTCCCACGAGACAAACAGCGCGTGTTCAAGAGCTCCCAACGCTCGCCTAAGCCTGAAAGCCCAAAGCAAGAAAGACTGGCATTTTGTGCAGCAGCAGCAGCAGCAGCAGCAGCAGCAGCAGCAGCTGAGTTATGGCAGTTACAGCCCCGTAGCCACGGGCTTACGGATTCCCTTTGAATTGGGAACCAAGGCTTGAAAAGACCCTTTAAATTAAGCAGGAAGAAAGAAATATAAAAGATAAACTTGCCTAGCCTCTTTGGCGTCTGCTGCGACGGGCAGATCCCCGTAAACCACCAAACCCCCGCAGTCTTGAAGCGCCGCCTGAAGTGCTGCGTCTTCTACGGCTGAGTCCGAAGAAAGGGCGTCGGCCCAGAAGTCTGGCACCTGAGTTTTGCACAAAGAAAAGCAGCACTTCTTGCAAAGAATCTGAAGTGCTGTGTGCGCCTGAGTCGAAAAGCTAGCCACGGCGCGGCAAACCCGCAAAAGCTGAACAGAAACACCAAAAAAGATAAAAAAGATGATCACCTCCACAAGTCCATGAGCCGAATCCGCAGGAACGCGGCGAGCTTCAGCCCAGCAGCTCGAGATCCACTCCGGGGCCACAGCCAGCGGCCAGGCGTCAGCAAGTGCTGCAGGATTCCGCGGAGTCGAGAGAGCAGCCTCCTCAGTTGCTGCTAAGTTGAATGCAGCTTTTGCTGCTTCTTCCCAGAGCTGCTGAGCCTCCTTGGCAGCCGCAGGCAGCAGCTGCTGCAGAACTCGCTGCTGTGCGCCCGACAGCAACATCGCTATCCTCTGCTGCTGCTGCTGCTGCGAAGGCGGCGCCTGCTGCCGCCGCGAACTTCGGCTGCTGGAGGCTTTCCCAGTATCTCTTCGTGGCTGCTGACTTAGAGTCACTGCTTCAAGGGCTTCTGCAGCAACAGCAGCCAAGTCGAGAAGCCCCGACAAGTCTTCTCGCTTGGCCACAAACAGCACTGAGGGGAAGCCTAGCACATTCCTTTTCCTTGCGTCTTGAGCTCGACTGAGCTGAAAACACCCACCCAAGAATAGAGAAGCAGTGTCTTCGGCAAAAGCAGCAGCTCAAGCAACGAATGAATGTGGAAAAGCTCCTGCATGCTGCTGCAGCAACTGCTGCTGCAGCGGCTCGTGCAGCAGAGCTGCTCCAGGAGCAAAGCAGCAGCAGCAGCAGCAGCAGCTTGCACTGCACAAAACCGCGATAGAGAACCGCTGCTGCGCTAGCCAATTTCTGACTGCTGCGCTGCTCACCGCAGAGCTGACAAGCTGCACCCGTTTGCTGCAGCCACAAAGTGCTGCAGCGAGTTCTCGGGTTGCGGGGCAGTTAAAAAGCCACGGGCAAATGCCCAAGAGAGGAGGGATAGTTGTGAAGTCTGTACATCCCAATTCTTCAATTTGCTGCAGCAAGAAAGATACCACTCACAAGCGCAGCTGGCAACGAGATTCCAGCTAATGTCCATCCGGTTGCCTTGCTGAAGCAGCACCGGCCAAGTTGTGTGCAGATCGTCCTCTTCTCCTCAAATATATCACTTTTTTTCTTGAATTTCTTAATGAGATCCTCAAAAGTTTCAACTTAAGATGAATCCTTTGCAGATCGCGCCGCTGCAGCGCCTGCCTGCTGGCACTCACCTGCAGCAAGTTCGGCTCCCGCGCCACTTGGCAGTCCGACACGAGGACTTGCACGCCGTGCAGCACTTGCTGCCTCCGTGCTGCAGCAGCAGCAGCTGCTGCTGGGGCAGCAGCAACTTGCTGCAGAGGCACAGGGTAAAGCTCGCACGGCGGCGCCCGCCCCTGCGCGGCAGCCACAGCAGGCAGGCGAAGCAGCACTGAGGGGCGTTTGCTGCTGCCCTGTCTTCCGGAATCCCCAGCAGCCTGGCGAAGGGGCAAAGAAGCAGCTGCTGCAGCTGCTGCTGCTGCAGCTGCTGCTGCTGCTGCTGCAGCAAAGTGCCCAGGTCCTTGCAGGGTTTCGCCTTACGAAGCGGTAAGCATCAAAGAGCCACTCCAGACGCACACAGGGAACACCAAGTTGCTGCAGCTGCAGCAGCAAAGCCAATTCAGCTGCAGCACCAAGCCTTCGCTTGCGGCGCTGCAGCAGCCCACTAGCTGCTTTGCTGCTGCGGGCGGCGGGCAGCAGCAGCCCGTGCTTATCTGAAAGTGCTGCTGCAGCTTTTCTCTGGAGCCAGGGGAGGTTCCCCACGACGACAACGTCAACTCCCAAACTCCCCGTTGCTGCTGCTGCTGCTGCTGCTGCTGCTGCTGCTGTTGCTGCTGCTGCGGAAGCAGCCTCAGCTGCCGGCGCTGCAGCCTGTGCTGCCGCGGCCTCCGCTGCTGCAGCCACTGCTGCTGCAGCCACGCAGCAGCCGCCCAGACCCTCCACACAAGCAGCAGCAATTTCCCAGTCAAGGCCCGACAGGGCCCGCCCCAGCCCCCCCTGGCTTTCTGCTGCTGCTGCTGCTGCTGCAGCACCGCAGCTGCTGCTGCTGTCTTCAGAATCTGAAGCCAACACGCCGTAGGCGAGGCCGCGGGCCCGCCGCACCCGCCGCAGCTTCCGCGTGCACCCCAGCAGCAGCACGCACTGCCCGCGTCCCCTCTGCTGCTGCTGCTGCTGCTGCTGCTGCTGCTGCTGCGGCTGCAGCAGCAGGGGAGGGTGGGACGGCGTGAGGGCTGCTGAGGCGCGGAATAGCGCGTGGGCTTCTGGGGTGTATAGACGCCCGTCCCGGAGACAGGCAAAAAGCCAAAATGGACTCAGCAGCCGCAAAGGCTCCAGCTGCAGCGCCGCCAAAAGCTGCTGCTGCTGCTGCTGCTGCTGCTGCAGTGCTGCGCATGCAGGCCTCCCCAGCGCCCCGGGAGCCAGCCTGCTGAGGTGGGCAAATGCAGCAGCAAAGTTGCACACCAGAAAGCCCGCTGCTGCAATCCCCTCCCTCGTTGCTTCCAGCACTCGAGCCCCCGCCTGAACAGCAGCAACGCGCATGCGCAGCAGCAGCTTCCACCGCTGCTGCCCGCTGCAGCAGCACGGAGCAGCAGCAGCAGCAACTTCGGCAGCGCAGCAGAATGAGGGGCCAAGAGGTGACCTCGGCAGCCCCCTTAGCCTGCCCCTTGCAATTAGACTTTTGAATCTCTAAATAAGTAAAAAAGTCACTTCCTTCTTTTGCTGTGCTGCTTACTCACCGCCGTTGCTGCTGCTTGCATCACTTGGAGGAGAGCCTCTGCTGCAGCAGCATCTGCAGAGGCTCCTGCCGGGGCGGCTGCGCCGTCTGCCTCCCCGCCACACTGCGCTGCAGCAGCAGCAGCAGCTGCTGCTGCTGCTGCTGCTGCTGTCTGTGGACTCTCCGCGTCGAATCCCAGGAAGCAAATGCTGAGGCCCCGGAAGAGCGCTCGTTCCCCCGGGGCCGACCGGGGGGCCCCCTGGGCTGCTGGCGGCGCCGAAATGGAAGTCTTCATGGCCTTTATTTTGCAGCTCCAGAGTTTTTCAATTTTGTTTAATGGAGCTGCTAATGAGACATTTGCGACTGCCGAGGCCAGCGCCGAAGACCCCGCGCTTGCAAGGAGCCGCAGCACGGGCCAGCAGACCGACTTCAGAGAACATCGCCCGCTGCTGAGCGCTATTAAATGGGATTATTCCTCATAATTTTAGACCAAAACGATAAAATGAAGGCTGCGGGAGAAGCAGTGCATGCACGCCACGCGGCAGACAGAACGCGCCCTGAACAAGCCGCAGCTGAGCAAAACAGCCTGGGGCCCCACAAGGTGACTCGTCCCCAGAGCATGTCTTCAGATCAATTATGAAGGAAGGG